ACAAATGCAAAGCCAAAATCCACAGCCAAGATGCTAAAGGGTGAAACTTTCAGCACCAAGCATCCTTCGAATGAGTCAGACACAACTAGATTTAATGTCAGGGGAAACCTTTACCTTTACTGTGATTCCACAGCAAGTTGGTTTCAGGAAAGGCCAAAGCTGCACGTCACAAGCGCTGAACCTGACTCAGCACATAGCAGATGGTTTCGAACGGCAACAGATTATAAGAGCTGTCTTCATAGACCTGTCAGCAGCCTATGATACTGTGAACCACTGCCTCCTCCTGAGAAAAATGTATAATATCACAAAGGACGACCACCTCACCCACCTCATAGGAAACCTGCTACAAAACAGGAGCTTTTTTGTTGAGTTCCAGGGCCAGAGAAGCAATGGCGGAAACAGAAGAACGGCCTGCCTCAGGGGAGCGTGCTCGCTCCATCCATGTTCAACATCTACACAAATGACCAGCCACTGCCAGAAGGGAAGGAGAGCTTCATCTATGCTGATGATTGTGGCATCACTGCTCAAGCAGGGAGCTTTGAAATGGTTGAACAGAAGCTCTCCGAAGCTCTAGGTGCTCTTACTGCCTCTTACAGGGGAAACCAGCTGATCCCTGATACATCTAAAACACAGACATGTGCTTTTCACCTTAAGAACAGACAAGCATCCCGAGCTCTGAGGATCACCTGGGAAGGAATCCCAATGGAACATTGCAGCACACCCAAATACCTGGGAGTTACCCTGGACCGTTCTCTGACCTACAAGAAGCATTGCCTGAATATCAAGAAAAAAATGGGTGCTAGAAATAATATTGTATGAAAGCTGACTAGCACAACCTGGGGGCCATGACCAGACACAGTGTAGACATCTGCCCTTGTTCTTGGCTACTCTGCTGCTGAGTATACATGCCCAGTGTGGAACACATTGCACCATGTTAAAACAGTGGATGTGGCTCTTAATGAGATATGCCACATGTCTATGTCCTACACCGCTGGAGAAATTATATTGTTTAACCAGTACTGCACCACCTGACATCCATTGGGAAGTAGCAGCCTGTAATGAAAGGTCCAAGGCAGTGACATCTCTGGCCCATCCTCTGTTCGGATATCAACAAGCATGTCAACAGCTTAAATCAAGAAACAGATTCCTAAGATTGAGAGAGATACTTGCAGAAACACCTCAGCAAGCGAGAGTCCAAAAGTGGCAGGCTAAAACCCAGCACCTTAATCAGTGGCTGAGACCGGATGAGAAACCCCCTTCTGGGCAAAAGGGAGAAACGTGCTAAGAGGAAGGCGTGTCAAGCCAACCCTGACCGGGACCACCTTCCACTTGGAAACCGCATGTTCTCCCGCATGTCCTCATGCGGGTCAAGAATAGGGCTCCACAGCCACCTATGGACCCACCGCCAAGACACCACATCTGGAAGACAATCATCGAGCTGCGACAGATTGCCTAAGTAAGGAAGGAAGGAAGGAAGGAAGGAAGGAAGGAAGGAAGGAGGACGGAAAGAAGGAAGGAAGGACGGACATGTTGGGTGAGTTATGCTATGGGGTAACACACCATCCCATTGCAAAATGACTGCATAGTTGCACTGGAGGACAAGAGGTTCTTAGAATATCTTAACCTAATCCGCAAATAATTATCCAAATGGCAAATGTGGAGGTCTGGCTGTGTTTTCCCTCCATAGGGTGATTGCACTCACTCACATCCTCCAATCCGATAGAGAACATTTCTTCTGCACATCACCTTGGAGCAAGACTAAGATTTTACTCTCCGAGCGGCACCTTTGTAATTGAAGAGCAAAGCCCTTTCCCACTCTTTTCCCCATCGGCTTTGCTCCAGCTGCTCCGTGGAAGCTTTCCTCTCTGTAGCACATGCAATCTTCTAAAAGCATTAAAGAGAATCAAAGAGTAAACATCTCCCAAGAGGGAGAAATTGAGAGAGAGAGAGAAAGCGGAAGATTTCCGTTGCAGACAATTGGCAGGATTCGGCTGAAGCCTGGCAGGAAAGGTCAGGCTTACGATCGGAAAGCTGTCAAGAAAGCTCCCTTCTGCCTCTAGAAAAAGGAGACTTAAAACAGCACGGATGGATGGAGGGAAGGATGGGATGCGATGTCTCCTTGGGAACTGAGAGACGGTTTTATTAGAAAACAGAAGATAAAACTACCTGTCTTTGGCAGCAGGCTCTGCTCTGGCACACGGGAGGATGGAAGAAAGCAAGCAAAACGCAAGAGGCAAGGGGAGAATGAGCAAGGGAAGAATGCACAGATTTACGATGGGTGACACCTGGTTTGAAAACAGACCATGTGAAATGGATTCAGGAATCTTAGCAGACCACAAGTTTGAACAAGAGTCAATAGTTGTTGGAGTTCAGCCTGTGATTGTGTTTCAGGATCAGGGTGCTTTGGATGTGGGTGTTGCGCTCCAGGTCCAGAAGAAGCCCTCTGACTTAAAACACACCGCATGAAGAGTGAAGAATCAAATCTTCTTTTATTAAAGCTTAGTAAATAGCCAGTAGAAATAAATGCTTGTAAGAAAATCAGAAGGTTCCAAAAAGTATTACTCCATAAACAGTAGAAACCCAAAGCAATGTCCACACAAGAAATACAGGCAATCCAAAGCAGCATTAATCCAGACAGGAATCAAGCAGGATGCAAAGACAATCCAAAAGGCTAAAAACTCCACAGAAACAAGATCCCTTGAACAAGACTTCCATGGCACAAGAACTTGGTTTCCAAACGATGCCTGATCTGACAAGATTTTCTATAGGCAAACCTTAAATCCCAAAACCTGGTTTCGTTTCCCCCCAGTCTTTGACTTTAATTGACAAATTCTTTCGGATCTACGTAAACATTGGGCTTTTCGTTGGGCCCAATGTTTACGTATTTGGAGATTAGCCAGTTGGCGGCTGGCTCATCTACAGCCGCCGACTCTGCTTATCTGACTCCTAACATCCTCCACATCAGAAGCAACAGGGGACTGGTTTCCCTCCTCATTACACATATCAAACACAGAAACATCAGGAGACTGAAAAACATTCACAGGTTCAAACACAGACTCGGGTTCAATCACAGGCTGAGTCCCAACAGTGGGGAATGATGTCAATGATTCCGGCTGTTAGGAATGGTGGAAGTTGAAGTCCAAAACACCTTGAGGGCCGAAGTTTGCTCGTGCCTGCTGGAAAGCCATTGCTGCCAGTCAAAGCAAACTATATTGGGTTTAATGGACACATGGTTTCACTTGGTGCATGACAGCCACATATATTCCTAACTGACTTAAGCTCCTGCTCTATATGCCCGCCTTTATGGCTCCACCGGTCACAGGAACTGACATTTCAAGGTCAGTTGCAAAACATCTCACATCTGCGGCACTTCTGAGGTAGAGACAGCCTCGGGGTGATATCTGGAATGCAAATTCCTATCACCGGGCGAGGGAACATCAGCCAGGAATGCTTTGCCATTGACTACAAGGAAGCAAGATGCTGATCATTTTCCCCAACGTGGAAATACATTACGGACATTGTATCTGTGGAGGATCCACTTCTGAACTTTGTGTAGATGTGTGAAAAGATGCTGATCATTTTTCCCAATGTGGAAATACAATACAGACCCTGTATCTGTGGAGGATACACTCTTGTGGATGTGTGAATCTGTAGATATTGTGGAACTCTATTGAAATGAAGGACTTCTGGAAGCAGCCCTGACTTTGCAAGACCTAAGCAGGACTGATCAACACCTTGGAGGTCCCTCATTCATAGGGTCACATGTGTTGTTGTTGTTCATTTGTTCAGTCGCTTCCGACTCTTCATGACCTCCTGGACCATCCCAGGCCAGAGCTCCCTGATGGCTGTGGCCACCCCCAGCTCCTTCAAGGTCAAGCCAGTCAGTTCAAGGATGCCATCCATCCATCTTGCCCTTGGTCAGCCCCTCTTCCTTTTGCCTTCCATTTCCCCCAGCACAGTGGTTCTCAACCTTCCTAATGCCGCGACCCCTTAATCCAGTTCTTCATGTTGTGGTGACCCCCAACCATAAAATTATTTTTGTTGCTGCTTCATAACTGTAATTTTGCTACTGTTATGAATTGTAATGTAAATATCCGATATGCAGGATGAATTTTCATTCACTGGACCACATTTGGCACAAATACCCAATATGCCCAAATTTGAATACTGGTGGGGTTGGGGGGGATTGATTTTGTCATTTGGGAGTTGTAGTTGCTGGGATTTATAGTTCACCTCCAATCAAAGAGCATTCTGTACCCCACCAGCAATTGAATTGAACCAAACTTGGCACACAGAACTCCCATGACCAACAGAAAATACTGGAAGGGTTTGTGGGCTCTGTAGTGGTGTCTGGATGTAGGTGAGCTACAACTCTTAAACTCAAGGTCAATGTTGTATTTGTATTCACAGTACTCGCCACAGTTTGGCGCCGAAAACCCCCAAAAAGAGACCCATCACTGCCACTTCTAAAGATTATAATGCATTTCAATAGATTGTGTCATTATTACTATAAATTATTACCGGCTGTGAGGAATTGTGTGGGGGAGGCCCGTGGTGACTGGGAGAGAGGCCCAAAAGCAATGCCAGAAGTGTTCCCTTTGGTGAAGCTGGCGGCGGCGGAGGAGGAGGGGGAGGAGCGAAGGATTGGGTCAGGGCGGGAAGGGAGGGGGCGTGTCTTGCGCGGAGGGGGCGTGGTCCGGCCATGTGCACGCGCCGGGCCTCCCAGGACGCTTCTGCGCATGCTCCATGTTATTTAAAACTTGTGAGTTTGTTGTGATGTGTATTGGAATTGTGATGATTGTTGGTCATACCTTGGGGTATGAGGAATGTGTATGCCAAGTTTGGTGAGTTTTCCTCCGGGGGTTTTCCCGTTTTTCGTTGCCTATGGACGCCCTTTCCAGATTTATATATATAGATTATGGAACCACAGGTACATGGCCCCACTGGGTCGCCAGGGCCCCTGGGTGAAAAACTTTGAAGCTCACATCATGCTCACAGCACAAGAGGCAGAATCATTTTATTCCAAGTACCTTTCATTGTGATTATTCTCAGGAAAGTGTCTGGTGCTGAATGGAAACTTCGCAGGGCCTTCCTTGGATTGGCAGAAGGGGAAGGCACATGAGATATTGGCACATGTGTGGCCCGGTCTCCAATTGCCATGGAGGAAGGTAACTGGGACTCCTGTATTTATCCAGGCACAGTTACAGCCCCAAATTTGTCTCTTATCCTGTTCCAAGCTCTCTCAGCCTCCCTCTTTCTCTTTGCCCCTAATTTTGGGCAGCAGTTCATTGGTGAGGAGGTGGCGCCTGTCCTTCCAGAGAAAGTGGGTGGGCGCCTTCCCGGGCCCCTGTTCGTACTCGAAGGAAGGGCTCAGCTCAAAGGCCAGGGCCGACTTCACCAGCCCAATTCCGCCGGCCTTTTCCGGACCCGGGTGGTAGAGGCGCCCGTTCTCAGGCAGCATCACCAGCTTCTCGGGCTGGAAGGGCACCGCCAGCTTCTCCGCTCCACCGCAGTAGGACAGCCGCTCCTCACCGGACGCTCCTTGGAAGAGATGAGTGAAGACGACGGGGACGTCGTCGCAGCGGATGTAGTTGTGCTCCCGGCCGCAAGGTGAGAGGAAGGGGAAGGCATCTTCGTAGCGCCCACTGCGGTTGACCTGGAGCTGCTTGAAGAAGAACACCAGGAACTGCTTGTCTGGAGAAGAGAAAAATCAAGCAGAGGAGCTTTTGATGAGACGTTTGAACAGAAAAAAACTTTAATAAAAAGTTTATCTGGAGTGCCAGCTAGAGGTACCAAAAATAACACCACGTCTTATATTGATTTTTGCTACAAAAGGTGCATTACTGCATTTCATCACATAATAGTCACACCTGCATTTTGAGGTGAGGAAAATTTGCATTTTGTGTTCCTCACATAATAGTTGCAGAGCCATTTGGGGCTGATTCTCCCCTGGGTCTTATATTGATTTTTGCTACAAAAGGTGCATTACTGCATTTCATCACATAATAGTCGCACCTGCCTTTTGAGGTGGGGAAAATTTGCATTCTGTGTTCCTCACATAATAGTTGCAGAGCCATTTGGGGCTGATTCTCCCCTGGGTCTTATATTGATTTTTGCTACAAAAGGTGCATTACTGCATTTCATCACATGATAGTTGCACCTGCCTTTTGAGGTGGGGAAGATTTGCATTCTGTGTTCCTCACATAATAGTTGCAGAGCCATTTGGGGCTGATTCTCCCCTGGGTCTTACATTGATTTTTGCTACAAAAGGTGCATTACTGCATTTAATCACATAATAGTTGCACCTGCGTTTTGAGGTGGGGAAAATTTGCATTTTGTGTTCCTCACATGATAGTTGCAGAGCTATATGTGTGTTTTGTGTGTGTATATATATGTGTGTATGAAATTTGTGTATATGTGTGTTTGCCTATATATATATGTGGTTTTGTACATGTGTTGTAATGCTTTTGTTTTTTGGCTTTTTAAGTCTTATTTGCTGTGATTTTCCATGTTTTTATGAGTGATGGTCACTTGTTGGCCTGATATGTGTATTCTGTCCAAATTTGGTGTCAATTCGCCCAGTGGTTTTTGAGTTATGCTAATCCCACAAACAAACAAAATTATCACGGGGTGTCTGTGCCCAACACCACTGGAGAAATTACACTGTTTAGCTGGTATTGCACCAGCTGACATCCGCCGTGAAGTAGCGGCCAATAGGGAAAGGACCAAGGCAGAGATATCTCCAGCTCATCCCTTGTTTGGCTATCAGCCAGCATGTCAACGACTTAAATCAAGAAATAGTTTTCTAAGATCTACAGAGACACTCGCTGGAACACCTCAGCAAGCGAGAGTCCAAAAGTGGCAGACTCAAACCCAGAACCTTAACCAATGGCTGATACCAAATGAGAGACCCCCCCCCCCCGGGCACACAGAGGACTGGGCGACTTGGAAGGTGCTGAACAGACTGCGCTCTGGCACCACGAGATGCAGAGCCAACCTCAAGAAATGGGGCCACAAAATGGAATCCTTGGTATGCGAGTGTGGAGAGGAGCAAACCACTGACCACCTGCTGCAATGCAACCTGAGCCCTGCCACATGCACAAGGGAGGACCTTCTTATAGTAACACCAGAAGCACTCCAAGTGACCAGATACTGGTAAAAAAAAAAACAACATTTAATCAACTACCAAGTTTGCAAAATTTGTGGGTTTTTTTTATCTGTTTGTTTATTTTGTTCTGTTAGAAATGTAATACAATTGTCTGGTTGCCCCTGACACGAAAAATAAATATCCCACAAACGAACATTACATGTTTATTTATATAGATAATTTAAAAAAGCAGGAAAGTAAAAAGCACTTTAAAGAAATAGGTAAATCCAATTAGGTAGGAAGATAAGCAGGAACAAAGTAGTCCAGCAATGTCCATAGAAACAAGTCAAAACTTCCCAAATAAAATGCAAGAAATCAGGAACAATGGTAATGCTAAGACAGGCATGGGGAAACTTTGGCCCTCCAGATGTTCAGGATTTCAACTCCCACAATTCCTAACAATCGGTAGGCTGTTAGGAATTGTGGGAGTTGAAATCCAAAACACCCGGAGGGCTGAAGTTTGCCTATGCCTGTACCAAGGTCTGTCCGGCAGTGGAATATGCTGCTGCCTTGGAGTCCAGAACGCTGGATTGTCATCTGCAGGGAATGTTTGGACTGTGTCTTCTTTCCTGGGAGAATGGGGCTGGACTGTATGGCCTTTGGGGGATCCTTCCCAATGCTATCATTATTTTTTGCCTGAAAACAGAGGTGTCCCCAGAGCTGGGGTTAATTGTCCCCCAAGAAGCCGGCAGATGGGAAGAGGCAAGGGCCAGCTGTGCTGCGAAGGGAGGGCTACCCGCCGGCAGAGTGGGCTAATGAGGACCATTCCCCGGTGGCCTTTCTTCCACTCATTAACCAGGCAGCTGTGCAATGAAGGAGAGCAGCCGCTTTGAATGCAGCCTTTATTTACTCGCTGGAGACTGCGCTTGGCTTGTTCAATACATCTCCATCTCCATGAAAGCGCTGCGGGTTTCGCCTTTGGGAGAAACTGCGGAGAGATCTGGCTCAGCTTTTGCATTGGACAAGTGCAGCACTTTTATCCCGCTTTAAAGGCCACAGCTCCATCCTCAATGGCTCTTGGGAGTTGCAGTTTTTCCCCCAGAAGTGGTTCTAAAATGACAACCAAGGAGACCTTGCTTTGATTTGTATATTCAATGTTATAGGCAGGCAGGGGTCCCGCTGAGCTCACAAATGCTTGATATACAGACATTAAATCTCAATTGCAATCCAGCAAGGAAGGAGGAGGGAAAGGATTGTCACAAAGGATGCATCTACACCAGGCATGGGACAACTTGGGCCCTCCAGGTGTTTTGGACTCCAACTCCCACAATTCCTAACAGCCTACCGGCTGTTAGGAAATGTGGGAGTTGAAGTCCAAAACACCTGGAGGTTTTGAAAATGATATCCCTCCTGTTCAAGGAGCTCCATTGGCTGGCGTTCATCTTCCGGTCCCAATTCAAGGTGCAGGTGCTTACCTACAAAGCCCTAAACGATTTGGGACATATCTACCTGTGTGACCGCATTTCTGTATACGAACCCACACAATCTCTTCGTTCATCTGCAGAGGCCCTGCTCACGATCCCACCTGCTTCGCAAGCGCAATTGGTGGGAGCGAGGGACAGGGCCTTTTCAGTGGTTGCCCCACGACTCTGGAACTCCCTCCCCAAGGACATCAGGCAGCCCCCAACGTTGGCAGTCTTCAGAAGGAGCTTGAAAACGTGGATGTTCCAGTGTGCCTTCCCAGAATAAGGAATCCTAAGCAATATATCCTAAATGCACTTTACGAGAGACTTAGAAGTGTCTGCACGCCCACCTATCCCAAAAATATCCCTCCTATTTCCCTTGGACATGTCCAGCATTTTAAAATTTTAATTCTTACATTTGGCCCTGCCACAGGTTTTTGAAATGTGTCATGTTATTATTGTATTGTGGTTTTTTTTTTGGGTTTTTTTTGCTTTTATGAGTTATTTATTGTTGTTGTTCTGTTTTATGATGTGTTTGGGCTCGGCCTCTTGTAAGCCGCACCGAGTCCTGCGGGAGATGGTAGCGGTGTATAAATAAAGGTTTATTATTATTATTATTATTATTATTATTATTATTATTATTATTATAGGTTTTAAGACTGTGTACTGCTTTGAGTCTCAGTTTCTGACATTAAGGTTAAGGTAAAGGGTTTCCCCTGGCATTAACTCCAGCCGGCGTTGTCCGTAGACGCCTCCAAGGTCACGTGGCCACTGGCATGAATGCATGGAGAGCCGCTACTTTTCCACTGAAGCGGAACCTATTGATGTACTCACATTTGCATGTTTTCGAACTGCTATGTTGGCAAAGCTGGGGCTAACAGCAGGAGCTCACCCCGCTGCCCGGATTTGAACCACTGACCTTTTGATCAGCAAGTTCAGCAACTCAGTGGTTCCACCCACTGTGCCACTGGGGGGATGGATATATATATATATATATATATATATATATATATATATATTAGCTGTCCCCTGCCATGTGTTGCTGTGGCCCAGTCTATATATATTTGTTTTACATCTATATAAATAAAAATGTAATGTTCGTTTGTGGGATTAACATAACTCAAAAACCACTGGATGAATTGACACCAAATTTGGACACAAGACACCCATCAGGCCAATGAGTGACCATCACTCATAAAAACATTGAAAAACACAGCAGAAGGTGTTTGCATTTATATATGTGGATTTGTGCATGCGTTGTAAAGCATTTTTTGTTTTTTGTTTTACTTTTTAAGTCCTTTTGCTGTGTTTTTCAGTGTTTTTATGAGTGATGGTCACTCGTTGGCCTGAGAGGTGTATTGTGTCCAAATTTGGTGTCAATTCGTCCAGTGGTTTTTGAGTTATGTTAATCCCACAAATGAACATTACATTTTTATTTATATAGCTAAAGGCCTTTGCTTCAGCCTCATCATTGTTGCTCTCTAGGTATTCATAGAATCCTATGAAAGATCTCAAGGGCCATCCAGTCCAGTTCCGTTCCGCCATTATGCAGGAAAAGCACCATCTAAACTCTCCCAACAGATACCTGTCCAGCCTCTACTTAAAAATATCTAGAGAAAGAGATCAAACTAGATGCCTAGGAGAAATAATTCCTCATGAAACAGCTCCGGCCAGCAGAAAGTTCTTCCTATTGGGTTGCTGTGAGTTTTTCAGAGCATGGCCATTTTTTTTTCCGTGTCAGGAGCGACCTGAGAAACTGCAAGTCGCTTCTGGTGTGAGAGAATTGGCCGCCTGCAAGGACGTTGCCCAGGGGATGCCCGGATGATTTGATGTTTTATCATCCTTGTGGGAGGCTTCTCTCATGTCCCTGCATGAGGAGCTGGAGCTGATAGAGGGAGCTCATCCTCCTCTCCCCGGATTCGAACCTGCGACCTGTCGGTCTTCAGTCCTGCCGGTACAGGGGTTTAACCCACTGCACCACTGGGGGCTATATTGTCAAGGTGATGCATGCCATATGCCAGCAAATATGGAAAACACAAGAATGACCATCTGACTGGGAAAAAAGTCCACTTATATCCACATACCAAAAAAGGGAAATGCTAAAGAATGCTCCAACTGTATTGTCGAAGGCTTTCATGGCTGGAATCACTAGGTTCTTGTGGGTTTTTTCGGGCTATATGGCCATGTTCTAGAGGCATTTCCTCCTGACGTTTCACCTGCAGCTATGGCAAGCATCCTCAGAGGTAGTGAGGTCTGTTGGAATTAGGAATATGGGTTTATATATGGCCATGTTCTAGTAGCATTCTCTCCTGACATTTCACCCACACCTGTGGCTGAGCAGTGGCTTAAAAAGGTGGGCATGTGGAGCCTGCAGAAGAGAAGGCTGAAAGGAGACATGATGAGGGCCATGGATCAAGATGTGAGAGGAGGTCACAGGGAGGAGGAAGCAGGTTTCCTTTCGGCTGCCCTGGAGACTAGGACGCAACGGAGCCATGGCTTCAAACTACAGGACTGCATGGAGTGCTGTTACATAAAAGTGAGTGTAAATAACACTAATAATAATAGCAGCAAAAGACGTTGAGAAAGCCTTTAAAGAGGCCTGTGCTTGAGATTTCTGCCTTACTGTAGTGTTTATGTGCGAAACCATCCCTAAAAGCAGTGGGACCCGATCGAGGAATGTAAGCAGCGAGGCTTAATTAAAGTAGGCAAGCAAAGCACCTTGTTGATGAGCATCGTTTATTTCCTGCACAGGAGGATGTCTTTCTGCTGTGTTTTTCTCCCAATTCCTTGGCATCTCGCTCCTTTTCTTTGGCGCCAAGCCTGAACCACCGCGGTCCACAGGCTCGGCCGGCTCGGCGGTATTTACAAGCCAAAGCAGGTACGCGGGTCGTAAATCCAAGTTATTAATAGTGCAGCTGCAGCCAGGTAATTGGGGAAAGGAAATTAAGATGCAAAAAGGAACTGTCTTTGTTTTGTATGGCGGCAGTAAACGAGGCACATGGAAGGGGGGGGGGGGGGAAACTGCAGGCGAACGGCTGAACCTGAAATCTGTGCTGAAATGGAACCTGTCTGGATGTGGCTGGAAACATTCAAAAGCCCAAAATGGGATTCCTGCTCATGACTCTTTAAATCACAAACCAGAAAAAGGTCACTACCATGGACACTGTAGAATTAATGCAGTTTTGACACCACTTTGACTACAAATCCTATGGTCATATGGGGAGCCCTCTCAGCCCGGTCATAGCTAATTTTTACATGGAACACTTTGAAAAACAATCCCTGGAAACAGCAACAAAAAAGCCCACGATATGGTTCAGATATGTGGATGACACCTTCACCATTTGGAGCCATGGAGAAGAAGAACTCAACAGGTTCCTGGACCATCTTAACAGCATCCACCCAAAAATCCAATTCACAATGGAAAAAGAAAATGAAGGAAGACTGCCTTTTCTAGATGTCCTAGTCACCTGCAAACCAGATCAAGAATAGGGTCACACCGTTTACAGAAAACCCCCACACACAGATAGAGATCTACATCAAAACTCCAACCATCACCCAAGTCAAAAAAGAAGCCCCATTAAAGTCTTGGCAGACCGTGCAGAAAGAATCCTCCAAGATGAACTGAACCACCTCAAGTGGGCTCTCCAGGCCAATGGAGATTCCACCTCAGACATCAGAAGAGCTGCAAGACCAAGAACAAGCCACGAGAGTCAAGACGAAGATCCACCCAGAGGGAAAGTGTTCCTGCCATACATCAAGGGATCCACTGACCGCAGAGGGAAGCTGATGATGAAACACAACATACAAACTATCTACAGACCTACCAAGAGGCATCCTCTCACTTCTGCAGGAGTCCACCGTGTACCATGCAGCTGTGGGCAAGTCTACAGAGGGACCACCAAATACAGCATTGCCCAGACATGAATCAAGGAACATGAAAGGCACTGCAGACTACTTCAACCAGAGAAATCAGCCATAGCAGAGCACCTGATGCACCAACCTGGACACAGCATTTTATTTGAGAACACAGAAATGCTGGACCACTCTCACAACCACCATATCAGAATACACAGAGAAGCCACTGAAATACACAAGCATGTGGACAATTTCAACAGAAAGGAGGAAACCATGAAAATGAACAAAATCTGGCTACCAGTATTAAAAAAACTCTAAAATTACAACAACACAACAACAGAGAGGAAACTAACAAGGGCATCTAATCACCTCTCAACAAAAGATTGTTCCAGGCACTGCCAGGCAATCAAATGCTAATCAAGGTGATCAATTGAAACATTCACACCTAGCTCCAACAGACAAGTGTCCTTTGTCCCACCCTGGTCATTCCACAGATATATAAACCCAATTTTCCTAGTTTCAACAGACCTCACTACCTCTGAGGATGCTTGCCATAGATGCAAGCGAAACGTCAGGAGAGAATGCCTCTACACCATGGCCATATAGCCCGAAAAAACCTACAACAACCCAGTGATTCTGGCCATGAAAGCCTTTGACAATACACAGCTTCAAGACTGATGCTTCGAATGTATTGCTCAATGGGTTTTAGCCTCAGATTCAAAATAATGTAAGACGAAAAACCCTATTTACCAGCTAATGGGCAGAATATCACTAGGCCTTAAAGCCAGAGATTTGGTTCATCCATTGTTGACTACCGTGAATGATTATGGAGGGTTATGGATTATCAAAAAGCATCAAGGGATAGGGGTCAGGGGCACAGACAGGGCAGAAACATCTGCAAAAAGGAGCAGAAGAACATCTGGAACTCAATATTCGTTCCATTAATGGAGGAGGTCAAGCAGATGAGGTCAGGGAGAGGTTCTCCCAAAGGATCTGCCCTAATTTCTCCACCAAACTCTCCAGTAGTGCAGGATTGTAAACGCTGCCTCTTCTTCCCCTGAAGGATCTGCTCCTGTACCAACTTGACATGGTGCAGGAGCTGAGCTGGCCTGGGTTTTAATACCCCGATTAAAGATTACGCCGGCAGGTCTTAATGCTGGGACACCAAAGGGGATGAGTGCGGTTCCGGAAGAAGATAAAAGTGTCAAAGCCGGGGATTTGCGGGATCATGCGCAGGCTTAGCAGAGCATCCTTAAAGTCTCGCCGAGAGATCTCGCTTACACAACGGATGGGGAGTGCTCAGGAACAACCCATCTGCTAGAAAAGGCTTGCATAACTTAGAATCACAGAATAATCAAGGTGGAAGAGACCACATGAGCCACCCAGTCGAACCTGCTGCCGTGCAAAAAAAAAAGCACAATCAGACTATCCCTGACAGATGGCATGGCTTCCTACTACTCAGGAGATGCTGCTTAGTGCTCTGTGCCAAAGTAGCTTCAGTGATACCTTGAAGAGATCACTCCCCAACCCTCTCCAACCCAGCCTCAGGGAAGCATGCTTGCTCCATCCATGTTCAACATTTACACAAATGACCAGCCACTGCCAGAAGGGACAGAGAGTTTCATCTATGCTGATGATCGCGCCATTACCACTCAAGCAGGGAGCTTTGAGATGGTTGAACAGAAGCTCTCCGAAGCTTTAGGTGCCTTTACTGCCTATTACAGGGAAAATCAGCTGGTCCCTAATCCATCTAAAACACAGACATGTGCCTTTCACCTTAAGAACAGACAAGCATCCTGAGCTCTGATGCTTGGGATGCTTGTCCACTCTCGTAAATGCGGTTCATGACAGGGCCTTCTCGGCAGTGGCCCCCCGTCTGTGGAACTCTCTCCCTAAGGATATCAGGTTGGTCACCTCCCTCCTCTCCTTTAGAAGACAACTGAAGACCTGGCTCTGGGGCCAGGCATTCAATTAGAGGCCAGCGGCAATGCAAAAAGGAAAGTTGGATTTTTGCGACATGGATTTTCCCAGCACGGCTTGGTTTTACTGGCACGTTAATCTATTAATTTATTGTTAAATTTTATTGAAGATGTACAATGTTTTAAAATCATTTTATTGTGAGTTGTAGTTTTTATGGTATTTATGTTGTTAGCATCCTCTGATGGAAGGAAAAAAGAAGAGGGGCCGACCAAGGGCAAGATGGATGGATGGTATCCTTGAAGTAACTGGATTGACTTTGAAGGAGCTGGGGGTGGTGATGACCGACAGGGAGCTCTGGCGTGGACTGGTCCATGAAGTCACGAAGAGTCGGAAACGACTGAACGAATGAACAACAACAAGCATCCTCTGATGCTCATGTGAGGCCGCGCTGAGTTTCCCTTGTGGGGAGAAGGGCGGGATATAAATATATGAAATAAATAAATACATAATAAATAAGGGTTAGTGGAAAAGGCCTGAAATTGGTCAGTTGGCTAGCAGAAATAGCTAGTGAAAGGATTTTTACAGCTATTAGGGAAATAGCTGGTGGAGGAGTGTAGAGATAGATCCAGGGTAGGACTATCTGTGCTGGTGTTTAGAAATTACTTTCAGAGAATAAATCCTGTCAGTAATATCTGCGGAGGAGGAGAGAAGTGTTCCTGTGTAACTAAGTCTGAACTGCTTACAGTAACCACACGCTTTTAAGTCAATACTCTGAAACAGCTAAACTTTATACCTGAATTGTTCCAGTTCCCTTAAATAAACATCATTGTTTTGTTGTTCTCAACATCTGTCTCACGTGTGCCTCTGTGGGCGAAGTTTTAAAAGCAGTTTCCTGCAGCAAAAAGGAGACTAATGGTGGCAACGTATAATTTAAAGAACAATCTTTTATTGTTACCTAAGAACACAAGCCTGAGGGCTAATCCAACCCATTCTTGCCTAAAATATTTCCAGTAAGCCAAGGACTTAACATTGCTTCTAAGTTTGGTGGTGGCCAAAGGGTTTTCAAAAGGTTTTTCAGCCAGAAGAAAATTCCAGCTTAGTGCAGCTTTTGTTTTGGGGTTTTTAATCACAGAAGCTTCATTCCAATCACAAGTGTGTTTCTGTTTTTGAGATTTTTGTTCCCAAATAAAGCCTCCATCTTTTATAACAACCAATCTCCGCAATGAATATCCACAGTTAGCTGGTCAGATCATGTCAGGGGCTGTCTACACGTATGTAGTCTAGGATGCAAGCAGCAGGACTTACCTTTGAAGCACGTGATGAAATTCTTGACTTTGGCATCATCCAGGAACAGCTGCATAAATGTGCCGGAGTGGGAGGCAGGATGAAAGAGAGAGAAAAAAGGGGGGCAAAGAGAATGAGTGTAGCAAATCAAGGTGGTCTTCAGTACAAAGACTGAAGATGCCCCCCCCAAAGGAATAAATTGCCCCCAATGGTCATATAACCCTTGAATCAAAAGAGAGCACAATGGCCGTCCAGTCCAGTCCAACCCCTTTTTACCAGGCAGGAAGACACAATCAAAGCTCTTCTGACAGATGGTCATGCAGCCTCTGCTTAAAAACTTCCAGAGAAGGAGATTCCAAAGGGTTCTCAGGCAGCAGTAGAGTCCACTATTGAGCCACTCTGTCCATCAGGAAGTCATTTGTACTTCCTCCATTGTGTCCTGGTCTTTCCCCACTCCTTATTTGACCTCTTTTCAAATATTTATTTATTTATTTATTTTATTTATTATTTAAACTTATATGCCGCCACTCCCCTGGGGCTCGGGGCGGCTTACAAGAATGGCTAAAATCTAACAAAATTTAAAAGCAATTTAAAACAATTTAAAAACAACACTATCAAACATTAAAAGCCTGTCGAAACAGGTATGTCTTACATGCCCTGCGGAAAGCTGGTAAGTCCCGCAGGGCACGAACCTCAGGTGGCAGAGCATTCCAGACTGATGGCGCCACTGCTGTGAAGGCTCTGCGTCTGGTTGCCGCTAGACGCAAGGTCTTGACACTGGGGACCTCCAATAGATCTTGGTCCTCAGAACGGAGGGATCTCTGGGGTTGGTAGGGGGTGAGACGATCCCTCAGATACATTGGCCCCAGACCATGCAAGGCCTTAAAGGTGAGTACCATCACTTTGAAAGTGATCCGGTGCTCAATTGGTAACCAATGCAGCTGTAGTAAGATTGGTGTTATGTGGCATCTCATCGGAATTCCCGCAAGAAGCCGAGCAGCTGCGTTTTCAACATGGCTCTCATGCCTCCTCTCTACCTTTCCTCCCAAGCTATATTGAGAGATCTGATCCCAGGTTATCTACTCTAAACTGGATTACATGTATCTGCCAGATAATCTGGGATTAGTACAGCTGGGATAGGGGGCAGTGGGGAATCCAGACCGTGTTTCGATTTGTGTACATCTATACTGTAGAATAAAAACAGTCCGAAACCACTTTAACTGCCATGGCTCAATGCTACAAAATCTTGCAGTTGGGAGTTTGGTGAAACATCAGCATTTTCTAGCAGAGAAAGGTAAAGACATAGGGTTGCTGTGAGTGTTTTGGGCTATATGGAACTACAAGAGAACTACAGCTAAGCTTTATACCTGAATTGTTCCAATTCCCTTAAATAAACATCATTGTTTGTTGTTCTCAACATCTGCCTCACGTGTGCCTCTGTGGGTGAAGTTTTAAGAGCTGTTTCCTGCAGCAAAAAGGAGACTAATGGTGGCAGCGTATAATTTAAAGAACAATCTTTTAGTGTTACCTAAGAACACAAGACTGAGGGCTAATCCAACTCATTCTTGCCTAAGATATTTCCAGTAAGCCAAGGGTTTAACATTGCTTCTAAGTTTGGTGGTGGCCAAAGGGTTTTCAAAAGGTTTTTCAGCCAGAAGAAAGTTCCAGCTTAGTGCACTACAAGGGAGGAGATTCCATCTGAACATAAAGAAGAACTTCCTGACTGTGAGAGCCGTTCAGCAGTGGAACTCTCTGCCCCGGAGTGTGGTGGAGGCTCCTTCTTTTAAACAGAGGCTGGATGGCCGTATGTCAGGGGTGATTTGAATACAATATTCCTGCTTCTTAGCAGAATGGGGTTGGACTGGATGGCCCATAAGGTCTCTTACAACTCTTTGATTCTATGATTCTATGGCCATGTTCCGGGAGCATCCTCTGCTGACGTTTCATCTAGATCTGTAGCAAGCATCCTTAGAGGTTTGTTCAGAGGTCTGTTGGAAATGAAGCACATGAAGTGTGTATGTGTGTAAGTGTGTGTGTGTGTGTGTGTGTGTGTGTGTGTGTATATCTACCTACCTACCTAAATCCCTATCTGTGGAATGTCCAGGGCAGGAGAAAGTACAACTCCTATGATTCCATAGCATCCAACCATGACAGCTACAGGGCTGTCAAACTGCATTAATTCTGCAGTGTAGACGCACTCTCCAAAATAGGCTTGATAGAAGCAAAGGGACAAATTGCAGTGAAAAAAGATAATTTCTCTGGCTGATAAATGTGAAGAGAACGCCTGCTCACAAGAGGAGGTTTTCCACCTTCCTCGGAAGCGTCAGCATCCATCCAGCTACAAAACCGTCTTTTAACACTAATTACAACTCCTAATCTCTCCTGTAACGATTAATTCAGTGCTAATTCGATACACCCTTAATGCAGAGGAGGCGAGCGTGTGATTCCACGGTTAACGCTAATGGATTAAATAAGAGGTCCAAACAGCTTCAGGGCTTGGAGATGGGCCAAACAGGGCTTGCTTCACTCCACTGTTGATTGGGTTTGAGAGCCAGCCAGGAAAGGAAGTCTCTCCCCAGAGTCTCGTTCTCTACGAAGTAGCTGTGTTAGTCCCTTGAGGTGTCAACAGGAGGGAGGGAGGAAAATCAGAACGCCCCAGCACCTTCAAAACTAACTTGTTTTTACTCTAGCGTGAGCTTTCATGGATATAAACTCACTTCTTCAGATGCAGTACAGAGTGATAATAAAGGTTTTTCCAGGCTGTCCCCAGAGGTTGTGAGACAAGGGTTCTTTCTCCCACCCTGGACATTATTCCATAGGTATATATACACTCCATTTGCTTCACTACCTCTATGAAGATATCCTCACTAATTAACTTAGCAAATTCATGGTTACTCAATGCTACTCAAGCTTGCTAATTGCAAAATTCACACTTGCTTCCACCAGACAAGGGTTCTTTCTCCCACCCAGGACATTATTCCACAGGCATATAGACACTCCACTTGTTACCGCTCTGCAGGTACCCTCATTAATTGACGTGGACTGTCTATAGACGTCACGCTCACTTCACGAAATGATTCATCAGCGTTGCATCTGAAAGATCTTGCCAATCTCTTGGGAAGACAGGTGGACAAATGTCAGTGTGCTGGAAGAAGCAAAGACCACCAGCATTGAAGCGATGCTCCTACACTATCCGATGGACTGGCCACGTTGTCCGAATGCCCCAAAGCAGTTATTATACTCCCAACTCAAAAATGGGAAACATAATGTTGGTGGATAGGAAAAGAGATTTAAAGATGGGCTTAAACCCAACCTTAAAAACATGGAGAACTGGAAAGCCCTGGCCCTTAACCACTTTAGCTGGAGGTCAGCTGTGACCAGCAGTGCTGCAGAATTCGAAGAGGCATGAATGGAAGGCGAAAGTGAGAAACGTGCCAAGAGGAAGGCACGTCAAGTCAACCCCAACCGGAACCACCTTCCACTTGGAAACCAATGTCCTCACTGTGGGAGAACATGCGGATCAAGAATAGGGCTCCACAGCCACCTACAAACCCACTGCCAAGACACTACACTTGGAGGACCACCATCCTCGAGCTGCGATTGCCTAAGTAAAGTAAGCATTGATTGACTTTGCAGACACTTCATGGTTTACTTAAATGCTAATTCAAGCATGCCAACTGCAACATTCATAGAATCATAGAATCAAAGAGTTAGAAGAGACCTCATAGGCCATCCAGTCTAACCCCATTCTGCCAAGAAACAGGAAAATTGCATTCAAAGCAGCCCCAACAGATGGCCATCCAGCCTCTGTTTCAAAGCCTCCCAAGAAGGAGCCTCTGCCACACTCCAGGGCAGAGAGTTCCAGTGCTGAACAGCTCTCACAATCAGAAAGTTCTTCCTAATGTTCAGGTGGAATCTCCTTTCCTGCAGTTTGAAGCCATTGCTCCACGTCCTAGTCTCCAGGGCAGCAGAAAACAAGCTTGCTCCCTCCTCCCTATGACTTCTTCTCACATATTTATACATGGCTATCATGTCTCCTCTCAGCCTTCTCTTCTTCAGGCTAAACATGCCCAGCTCTTTATGCCGCTCCTCATAGGGCATGTTCTCCAGACCCTTTATCATTTTAGTCGCCCTCCTCTGGACACATTCCAGCTTGTCAATATCTCTCTTGAATTGTGGTGCCCAGAACTGGACACAATATTCCAGGTGTGGTCTAACCAAGGCAGAATAGAGCATGGGTAGCATGACTTCCCTGAATCTAGACTCCTTTTGATGCAGGCCAACATCCTGTTGGGTTTTTTTTTTTGCTGCTGCATCACATTGTTGGCTCGTGTTTAACTTGTTGTCCACAAGGACTCCAATATCTTTTTTCACACGTATTACTCTTGATAGTTTCCTTTTATTTCTGAGTCAAAATCTCTGTAATGTAGTGTGGCTGCTAAAAAAGGCCAATGCAATTCAAGGCTGCATTGTTTGGACTTCATCTAGAATGATAATGTTCCCAGTTTGGGGCAGAACAGTTCAAGGATATTGAGAAGCTGGAAGGTGTCCAGAGGAGGATGGCCAAAAGGGTCAGAGGTCTGGAAACCACAAATCCCTGAGAAGAAGTTATGGATAGTTGCTTGAAGAAGAGAAGGTTGAGAGAAGGAGACATAAGAGCCGTGTTTACATATTGGAAAGGAGACATAAGAGCTGTGTTTACATGTTAGAAAGATTGTCCCTTTGAGGAGGAGGCACACTTGTTTTCTGGGTTGTTGTAGATTTTTTCGGGCTATATGGCCATGTTCTAGAGGCATTCTCTCCTGACGTTTCGCCTGCATCTATGGCAAGCATCCTCAGAGGTAGTGAGGTCTGTTGGAACTAGGGAAAAGGGTTTATATATCTGTGGAATGACCAGGGTGGGACAAAAAACTCTTGTCTGCTGGAGCTAGGTGTGAATGTTTCAACTGACCACCTTGATTAGCATTTGATGGCCTGGCAGTGCCTGGGGCAATCTTTTGTTGAGAAGTGATTAGATGTCCCTGATTGTTTCCTCTCTGTTGGTTTGCTATTGTAATTTTAGAGTTTTTTAATACTGGTCAACAATTGGGTCACACCGCTTACAGAAAACCCACACACAGAGATAGAGATATCTACATAAAAGCTCCAACCATCACCGAGGACAAAAAAGAAGCCCCATTAAAGCCTTGGCAGACCGTGCAGAAAGAACCTGTGAAGCCCACCTCCTCCAAGATGAACTGAACCACCTAAACTGGGCTCTCCAGGCCAATGGAGACTCCACCTCAGACATCAGAAGAGCTGCAAGACAACCGAGAAGAAGCCACGAGAGTCAAGATGAAGATCCACCCAGAGGAAAAGCTTGTCAGACATCAAGGGAACCACTGACCGCAGAGGGAAGCTGAGGAGGAAACACAACATACAAACTATCTCCAGACCCACCAAGAAGATCCAACAAATGCTACGTTCAGCAAAGGACAAGAGGGATCCTCTCATTTCTGCAGGAGTCTGCCGTGTACCATGCAGCTGTGGACCAGAAGTCTCCAGAGGGACCACCAAACGCAGCAGCATTGCCCAACACACGAATCAAGGAACATGAAAGGCATTGCAGACTCCTTCAACCAGAGAAGTCAGCCATGGCAGAGCACCTGATGAACCAGCCTGGACACAGCATTTTATTTGAGAACACAGAAATGCTGGACCACACCAACAACCACCATGTCAGGCTACACAGAGAAGCCATTGAAATCCACAAGAAACATGTGAACAATTTCAACAGAAAGGAGGAAACCATGAAAATGAACAAAATCTGGCTACCAGTTTAAAAAAAAACCTCTAAAATTACAACAACACAACAACAGAGGGAAAACAATCTGGCACATCTAACCACCTCTCAAGAAAAGATTGCTCCAGTCACTGCCAGGCCATCAAATGCTAATCAAGGTGATCAGCTGAAACATTCACACCTAGCTCCAACAGACAAGAATCCTTTGTCCCATCCTGGTCATTCCACAGGGGGCTGAGTACAGGGAGAACACCACTCCGCTGTTACGCCAGCTCCACTGGCTGCCAATTAGCTTCCGAGCACAATTCAAAGTGCTGGTGTTGACCTATAAAGCCCTAAACGTCTCCGGCCCTGTTTACCTCTCCGAACGTATTCTCCATTACGAACCATCAAGATTATTAAGATCATCTGGAGAGGCCCTGCTCTCGGTCTCACCGGCCTCGCAAGCGCGCCTGGTGGGGACGAGGGACAGGGCCTTCTCGGTGGTGGCCCCGCGACTCTGGAACTCTCTCCCTCTGGAGGCCAGAACCGCCCCATCCATCCTAACATTTAGGAAACGGGTGAAGACGTGGCTGTGGAGTCAGGCCTTCGAGGAATGAGACAACACCATAGGACCCTGGATGGAAGCTGATGTAGATCCATCTTAATAGGACAACTGACCACTGTAGTTTTATATATAGTGTTTTTAAAGTTGTTTTTGTAATTGTGATATAGGATATTTTAATGAGTGTATATGTGACAGACTTTGTATTTCTAGGTGCAAAGATTACTGCAGGTGCAGACTGTGGCCAGGAAATCAGAAGACGCTTCCTTCTTGGGAGGAGAGCAATGTCCGGTCTCGATAAAATAATAAAGAGTAGAGACATCAGACTGGCAACAAAGATCCGCCTAGTCAAAGCCATGGTATTCCCTGTAGTAACCTACGGATGTGAGAGCTGGACCTTCGGGAAGGCTGAGCGAAGGAAGATCGATGCTTTTGAGCTGTGGTGTTGGAGGAAAGTTCTGAGAGTGCCTTGGACTGCGAGAAGATCCAACCAGTCCATCCTCCAGGAAATAAAGCCCGACTGCTCACTGGAGGGAAGGAGACGAGAGGGAAAGTTGAAGTCCTTTGGCCACATCATGAGGAGACAGCAAAGCCTAGAGAAGACAATTATGCTGGGGAAAGTGGAAGGCAAAAGGAAGAGGGGCCGACCAAGGGCAAGATTATTATTATTATTATTATTATTATTATTATTATTAAACTTTATTTGTACCCCGCTAGCATCTCCCGAGGGACTCGATGCGGCTTACACAGGCAGAGGCCTCAACACACAACATAACAATACAATCTAAGCAAATCAAACAATTAAAACAGAATAAAGCAAAATGAACAACAGGCAATAAACAATACACTAAACACAATAAAACTGGGCCGAGCAAGAGTAATGGGTACAAGAATTAAAAGTGCTGATGTGACAGGAGGTGTATATGAGGCTTCCAGGGCAAGTGTGGTGTGCGATATGCAGCAATCATTGGTTCTAGTAAAGTGCTTATGGGACTTGGTAGTGGAGATTTCCTAATCTGGGAAGGCGCATCGGAAAAGCCAGGTCTTCAAGTTCTTTCTGAAGACTGCCAATGTAGGGGCCTGTCTAAGATCTTTGGGGAGGGTGTTCCAGAGTCGGGGGGCCACCACGGAAAAGGCCCTGTCCCGCGTCCCCACCAAGCGCGCTTGTGACGCAGGCGGGATCATGAGCAGGGCCTCTCCAGATGACCGAAGTAAACGTGTGGGTGAACGTGAAGGTGGATGGATGGCATCCTTGAAGTGACCGGACTGACCTTGAAGGAGCTGGGGGTGGTGACGGCCGACAGGGAGCTCTGGCGTGGGCTGGTCCATGAGGTCACGAAGAGTCGGAGATGACTGAACGAATGAACAACAACAACAAACGAAGTAAGTAAATAAATAAATAATTTAAAAGAACCTATGCTTTAAAGTCATGAGAGATGGCCCTCTGTCGGGAGGGTTTGGGTGGTGCCTCCCAGCCTGGTAGAAGAAAGGGGGCTGGGTTGGGCTGCCTCGGGGTCTCCTCCAAGCCTAGGAACACCCTAGAGCAGGCCTGGGCAAACTTTCGGCCCTCCAGGTGTTTTGGACTACAACTCCTACAATTCCAAACAGCCTACCGGCCGTTAGGAATTGTGGGAGTTGTAGTCCAAAACACCTGGAGGGCCGAAAGTTTGCCCAGGCCTGCTCTAGAGGGATCCTTCCTTCCTTCCTTCCTTGTGTTTGCGGCCTACCTGTCCCTGGTGGTCCACGTAGTAGAAGTACTCTCGGGTCCGGGGCGAGGGGCTCTGGCCTTGCTGGTAAAGCGGCCTCTCGGGCCCTCGGTGGACTCCCGGCCTCAGCAAGAAGCCCAGCCCTCCCCTCAGGAGCCGCATCCCGGCGAACGCGGGTCAGAAATGGAGTGAGGCCTAGTCGTAGCGGAGAAAACAACAATCCGCGGGGGAACGTTGCAGCGACGCACACGCGCCCCTCCGGGTTCTGAGGCCGCGCAGAATAGTTCCGCTTGGCAACAATTTGGGCCCTCCCTATAAGTACTCTTCAGAACTTATGGTTTTCATCCTTTGGGAAACATTATTTGTATAAAGGCTTATTATACAAATACGAGGGTTGAATGAAAACTAATGCCTCCACCTGCCTCACTCCTCAACAGATGGCAGTACTGGTATGCGGCAGGTACTGGCTTGTTCAGTAGACTCTCCTCTACAGTTCCATTTTGGTAGGAAGCCTTAGCATTGAACGGACCTTGGTATCTCCTCAACAGATGGCAGTACTGGTATGCGGCAGGTACTGGCTTGTTCAGTGGACTCCCCTCTACAGTTCCATTTTGGTGGGAAGCCTTAGCATGGAATGGTTGTGTTGTTAAAGTGAAAAGTAATGCCTCCACCTTTGTAACTCCTCAATAGATCCATTTTGGTAGGAAGCCTTAGCATTGAACGGACCATCGTAACTCCTCAACAGATGGCAGTACTGGTATGCGGCAGGTACTGGCTTGTTCAGTAGACTCTCCTCTACAGTTCCATTTTGGCGGGAAGCCTTAGCATTGAACGGACCATCGTAACTCCTCAACAGATGGCAATACTGGTATGCGGCAGGTACTGGCTTGTTCAGTAGACGCTCCTCTACAGTTCCATTTTGGCAGGAAGCCTTAGCATTGAACGGACCTTCGGAACTCCTCAACAGATGGCCGTACTGGTATGCGGCAGGTACTGGCATGTTCAGTAGACTCTCCTCTACAGTTCCATTTTGGTAGGAAGCCTTAGCATTGAACGGACCTTGGTATCTCCTCAACAGATGGCAGTACTGGTATGCGGCAGGTACTGGTTTGTTCAGTAGACGCTCCTCTACAGTCCTATTTTGGCAGGAAGCCTTAGCATTGAACGGACCTTGGTATCTCCTCAACAGATGGCAATACTGGTATGCGGCAGGTACTGGCTTGTTCAGTAGACGCTCCTCTACAGTTCCATTTTGGCGGGAAGCCTTAGCATTGAACGGACCATCGTAACTCCTCAACAGATGGCAGTACTGGTATGCGGCAGGTACTGGCTTGTTCAGTAGACTCTCCTCTACAGTTCCATTTTGGCGGGAAGCCTTAGCATTGAACGGACCATCGTAACTCCTCAACAGATGGCAATACTGGTATGCGGCAGGTACTGGCTTGTTCAGTAGACGCTCCTCTACAGTTCCATTTTGGCAGGAAGCCATGCCTCCACCTTCATAACTCCTCAACAGAGGCAGTACTGGTATGCGGAAGGTACTGGCTTGTTCAGTAGACTCTCCTCTACAGTTCCATTTTGGGAGGAAGCCTTAGCATTGAACGGTTGCATTGTTAAAGTGCGAAGTATGGAATACTGCGCAGCAGGTACTGACTTGTTCAGTAGACGCTCCTCTACAGTTCCATTTTGGCGGGAAGCCTTAGCATTGAACGGACCATCGTAACTCCTCAACCGATGGCAGTACTGGTATGCGGCAGGTACTGGCTTGTTCAGTAGACTCTCCTCTACAGTTCCATTTTGGCGGGAAGCCTTAGCATTGAACGGACCATCGTAACTCCTCAACAGATGGCAATACTGGTATGCGGCAGGTACTGGCTTGTTCAGTAGACGCTCCTCTACAGTTCCATTTTGGCAGGAAGCCTTAGCATTGAACGGACCTTCGGAACTCCTCAACAGATGGCCGTACTGGTATGCGGCAGGTACTGGCATGTTCAGTAGACTCTCCTCTACAGTTCCATTTTGGTAGGAAGCCTTAGCATTGAACGGACCTTGGTATCTCCTCAACAGATGGCAGTACTGGTATGCGGCAGGTACTGGTTTGTTCAGTAGACGCTCCTCTACAGTCCTATTTTGGCGGGAAGCCTTAGCATTGAACGGACCTTCGTAACTCCTCAACAGATGGCAGTACTGGTATGCGGCAGGTACTGGCTTGTTCAGTAGACTCTCCTCTACAGTTCCATTTTGGTGGGAAGCCTTAGCATTGAACGGACCTTCGTAACTCCTCAACAGATGGCAGTACTGGTATGCGGCAGGTACTGGCTTGTTCAGTAGACTCTCCTCTACAGTTCCATTTTGGCGGGAAGCCTTAGCATTGAACGGACCATCGTAACTCCTCAACAGATGGCAATACTGGTATGCGGCAGGTACTGGCTTGTTCAGTAGACGCTCCTCTACAGTTCCATTTTGGCAGGAAGCCTTAGCATTGAACGGACCTTCGGAACTCCTCAACAGATGGCCGTACTGGTATGCGGCAGGTACTGGCTTGTTCAGTAGACTCTCCTCTACAGTTCCATTTTGGCAGGAAGCCTTAGCATTGAACGGTTGTGTTGTTAAAGTGAAAAGTAATGCCTCCACCTTCGTAACTTCTCAACCGATGGCAGTACTGGTATGGGGCAGGTACTGGCTTGTTCGGTAGACTCTCCTCTACAGTTCCATTTTGGCAGGAAGCCTTAGCATTGAACAGTTGTGTTGTTAAAGTGAAAAGTAATGCCTCCACCTTCGTAACTCCTCAACAGATGGCAGTACTGGTATGCGGCAGGTACTGGCTTGTTCAGTAGACTCTCCTCTACAGTTCCATTTTGGCAGGAAGCCTTAGCATTGAACAGTTGTGTTGTTAAAGTGAAAAGTAATGCCTCCACCTTCGTAACTCCTCAACAGATGGCAGTACTGGTATGCAGAAGGTACTGGCTTGAGTAGACTCTCCTCTACAGTTCCATTTTGGCAGGAAGCCTCAGCATTGAACGGTTGTGTTGTTAAAGTGAAAAGTAATGCCTCCACCTTCGTAACTTCTCAACCGATGGCAGTACTGGTATGGGGCAGGCACTGGCTTGTTCAGTAGATGCTCTTCTACAGTTCCATTTTGGCAGGAAGCCTTAGCATTGAACGGTTATGTTGTTAAAGTGCAAAGTATGGAACCCTGCGCAGACGGTTGGTCAATGCGATTTACTTACTTACCTTTCAGCCAGCTGCTCAGCAGTTTAATCTGCTGCACCACCAGAGTGCCCACAGTTGTAATATAATAATAGTAATTAAATATACATAAATAATGCTTACTTACTTACGGCGATCCCTCATTGTCCGAGTAGGATAGTCTTCCAGGGTGGGTCCGTAGGTGGCTGTGGAGCCCTATTCTTGACCTGCATCTTCTCCCGCAGTGAGGGCATCTGTTTCCAGGTGGAAGGCAGTCCTGGTCGGGGTTGACTTGACGTGACTTCCTCTTGGCACGCCTCTCTCTTTCGCCCTCCATTCATGCCACTTCAAATTCTGCAGCACTGCTGATCACAGCTGACCTCCAGCTGGAGCTCTCATGGGCCAGGGCCTCCCAGTTCTCAGTGTCTGTGCCAGAGTTTTTAAGCTTGGCTTTGAGCCCATCTTTCAGTCTCTTTTCCTGCCCACCAGTATTCCGTTTTCTGTTCTTGAGTTTGGAGGAGAGCAACTGCTTTGGGAGATGGTGGTCAGGCATTCAGACAACTTGGCCAGTCCAGGGGAGTTGATGGCAGAGGACCATCGCTTCAGTGCTGGTAGTATTTGCTTCTTACAGCATGCTGACATGTGTCCACTTGTCTTCCCAAGAGATCTGCAGGATTTTCCGGAGGCAGCGCTGATGGAATCGTTCCAGGAGTTGCATGTCTCGCAGGCATATTGCAGGGTTGGGAGGACAATAGCTTTAAAATAAGCCCCTTGTTATCACTGCGGATGTCCCAGTCCTCAAACACTCTCTGCTTCATTAAGAAAAACGCTCTGAGTCGCCTAAGGGCTGAGAAGAGCGGTATACAAATAAAGTAAATAAATAAATAAATAAATAAAGGTAAAGGTTTCCATTTGGCATTAAGTATAGTCATGTCCGACTCTGCGGCGTGGTGCTCATCTCCATTTCTAAGCCGACGAGCTGGCGTTGTCCATAGGCGCCTCTATGGAGCACTGTTTCCTTCCTGCCGGAGCAGTACCTATTGATCTACTCACATTTGCATGTTTTCAAACTGATAGGTTTGGAGAAGCTGGGGCTAACAGCAGGAGCTCACCCTGCTTCCCAGATTCGAAATGCCATCCTTCCGTCAACAAGTTCAGCAGCTCAGCAGTTTAACCCGCTGCGCCACCTGGTCAATATAATACTACTAATATAATAATATTGTAATATAATAATACTAATCTATATTAATAAAAATGTAATGTTATTGTAATGTAATGTTCGTGCTAGCATCAGAACTCAAAAACCACTGGGGGAATTGACACCAAATTTGGACACAAGACACCTAACAGTCCAACTTATGTCCTCCACTCAAAAAAAAATAATTTTGTCATTTGGGAATGGTTGTTGCTGGGGCTTATAGTTTACCTACAATCAAAGAGCTTTCTGAACTCCACCAATGATGGAATTGGGCCAAACTTAGCACACAGAGCTCCCATGACCAACAGAAAAAACTGGAAGGGTTTAGTGGACATTGACCTTGAGTTTGGGAATTGTAGTTCACCCACATCCAGAGAGCACTGTGGACTCAAACAATGATGGATCTGGACCAAACTTGGCACGAATATTCCATATGCCCAAATATGAACACAGATGGAGTTTAAGGGAAATAGACCTTGACATTTGGGAGTTGTAGTTGCTGGGATTTATAGTTCACCTGCAATCAAAGAACATTCTGAACTCCACCAATGATGGAATTGAACCAATCTTGGGACACAGAACTCCCATGATCAACAGAAAACACTACAAGAGTTTGGTGGGCATTGACGTTGAGTTTGGGAGTTGTAGTTCACCTACATCCAGATATCACTGTGGACTCAGACAATGATGGATCTGGTCCAAACTCTACACGAATGCTCAATATGCCCACAAGTGAACACTGGTGGAGTTTGGAGAAAATAGAATCTTGACATTTGGGAGTTGTAGTTCCTGGGATTTGTAGTTCACATACAATCACAGAGCATTCTGAACCCCACCCATGACAGAATTGGGCCAAACCTTCC